ATCAATCAATCAATCAATCATCCTATTAACTGAATTGGATTGGGTTGGATTGACCTGGAAATGCAATGAAGCCAAATTTAATCTTTGTCCTGCTTCTCCAGTCAACGGCCACCTTGCTGGAACTCACCCTCACTTCCCGACAGCAACGCCATGCGAAAGCCAAAAAAAGTGATGCTTCCTGGTCCAAAGGAGATTCCCTTTATCATTTCTTTGCCCTGTTCCCTCTCTAACTCCCCCGCATTCAGAGACGACGTATAGAAGGAGGTGGCCCTGTCCCTCACCACTGCCTTCTCTCCCACCCAGCCAAAAGCACCTGGTCGCCGTGGTCACCGTGGTCCCCCTGCTCCGTCACTTGCGGCTTCCAGAACCAGATGCGGATCCGTCAGTGCGCTCACGTGGAAAGCGGGATGCGCTGCCTGGGCCCTTCGGCTGACCTCAAGCTGTGCCCTCACCTGCAGCCTTGCCCCAGTAAGCCCGTTTCCGCAAACACGCGCCTTGTCTCTCTGCTGCAAAACTATCAGCATTTTATGTGCGGTTCCCCTTATGAATCGGAGACGCCTTGCTCCAGACACAATGCGCATCGCTTTTTGCAAAGAATCTGTAGCATGACAGTTTAGGGAACCGTCATCCGCCACGGGGACAAGCACGTATGCTTTGCACTCGCAGGTTCCTCCAAGGACTCCAGACAACACACTTAATTTCCTCCCTACGGCAACAGCTCTGAAAAGTATTTAGCAATATATGTTCTGTTTTATCTAGTCGCTGACCAAAATCAATCTTATCTCTGTATCTTTCTTCCCTTGCCTCAGCTGATGGTGGCTGGTCAGTGTGGTCCCCCTGGTCGGTGTGTTTGGAGACGTGTTTGGGGATCAAGAAACGGGTCCGGCTGTGCGACAGCCCTGCCCCTTCCAGGGGAGGTCTGCCTTGCAAAGGGGAGAAGGAGCAGCTCGGTTTATGCCACGAAAGCCACTGTGCCGGTATTTAATGTGGATTCCCTGCATGGAGCAGAGGGGGGAACTCAGTCTCAATGAATGAGCCATGCTCCCTATTCCTTGATTCAGTGATTTGGCCTAGAAACACCAGTTCGCTGTGATATTGCTCCTGAATGTCCTCAAAAGTAAACGTTTCCGTCAAGCAGTCTTGAGCGCTCTCTAAGCAGAACGGCAAGATTTAAACTGAAAATATAAATTAGAAATAATGTTCTTTTCCTGAAGAGAGAGGAGAAGTTGCCCTCCCTAATGAGAAGATGGGGGGATTTAGTGAGGAATTTTCTTATCCAGGACCAAGTGCGTTGCTGGTTTTTTGAAAGCTGGGATTCCAAATTAGTTTAGAAAGCGATTAGTGAACTAGTGTTGTATCTCAAGGAAGGAGAATTCCATCAGGTGGTGACATGGTCCACGGGAACAACTTGGGAGACAGGAGGAAGAGCTGAAGACTAGGCAATGGTCAGATAAGAGGCGGCTGAGCCCACAGAAGAAAAAGGGGTGTGGAAAGCATCTCAGAAGGGAACCTCCCTAGTTTCTTGGGCTATAAAGGTGACAGGGAGAAATGTACTTTCAGACTTGCAAGACTGTTGTCAGCCTTGCAAGGCAGTCCAGACCAGAAGCACACCCAGAAGTACTAGCTCTATCTTTACCGTAAGGTTATGTTAACAGAATCTTGCAAGTTTGAAGGTACCTCTCCCCTCTCTCTGTGGGAAGGTCATTCCCACAGACCATGACAGTAGCAACCCCTGCCTTTGCTTTTTCCTTAAAGCTGTACCACCAAAATACAGGATTGTTGCAGAGGTGGGAAATCTGTTGTTCCCCCTGTGTTGTGGGATCCACAGCTCCATCGTTCCTCGCCATGGCCCCACACTGGCTGTGAGGGATGGTGGTTGAAGGCCGACATCTAGAGATTGGCAGCTTTTCCAGGCGATGTCTCAGAGATTAAACTATGGCTTGGTCTTTGTCTTAGTTGACGGAGCGTGGTCTCCCTGGGCATCGTGGACTCCCTGCCCCATCTCCTGTGGACTAGGAGTCGTGCGACGGTCACGGCGGTGCAATAACCCTTCACCAAAACACGGAGGAAGGAACTGTAGTGGCCATGGCTACGAGGAAGGCACCTGTGGTTTTCCGGTAAGGGACCCCTAAAAGTGGCGCTAGGACCCACCCATTCTTGAACCAGGCAACCAGGCAGACAGCATGCTGGCTGAGGAATTCTGGGAGTTGAAGTCCACACATCTTAGAGATGCTAAGGTTGAGAAACCCTGACTTAAAGGAAACACGCCATCTCCAATTTCAGCTATTAGCACAAGAAAATGTCAGATTTCTCCCCCTTTGTTCAGTTTTGTAAAATGCCAATGGCATTCTGATGTGAACTCGCCTCGTGACACTTACCAGGTTTCTGTTTATATGCGTACAGGAGGCACTCTGCAAATTTCTAGTGAAACCTTCTGGATCCATCATACCTGGGAAGCTGATTCAGATCAGGAGCCAAACCTAAGAGTGAGCATTTGCTGATCGATCCAGAAATGCAAATAGCATCTGTAGCCTCGCTGGAATCACACCTGCTCTTGTGGATCGCCCGAAAGGTTCTCAAGGCCTTAAAGTAGGGACAGGTTTGCAGAAGACCCGGGTGCAAAGAATCTCTTGGGAAGACACCTCCTTTTAATTGTCCTTCACCGCACAGATCCACTCCTGGAGGAGGGAGGGAGCATGGAATGGGCCTCCCTCCCCCCCACCCCCCACATATCATGCATAGCAACATTGACCGTTTATGGATTTTGCCAAGGTTTGGATATTGTGCTTGGGAACGACAAGGAGTTTTCCAAGAGGATGGGACCTGTAGTTGTTGGGGAAGCAATCAGAGGCTGCGATTGCTTCTGTGATCAGTGAAAGGTAGAGACTTGATGAAGAATATGATTAAAATGTAATGGCCGTTGGATCAACGTCTCCTTCATTTTTGGTGAGTGGCTCTCTTTAGTTTTACACGAGTTTGTTTTGTAGGCTGAACTGTTTCCAAGGCGGGTGTAATTAAATTCTCGTTCGAGTACAAATGACTCCTCCATGTTGAAAGCTAGCTCCTCAGGGTGTAGTTAGAACTGTCACATGGATACCTATTTTTTTTTTTCTTCGTCAGAGTGAAATAACTCCTTCCATCAAATTCAGAACTATGCGTGGCAGCTTTAAAGTTTAAAAAAATAAAGTAACATTTCTAACAGATTTGTTTCTGAGTCAGCTTTCCTCTACTTGGATCCTCTTGGGTGTTTTTGACTACATCTCCCATCATTCATTCTCATTGGCCATTCTGGCAGGGGATGATGGGGATGTGGTCAAAAACAATGTTTCTCAACCTTGGCCACTTTAAGATGTGTGGACTTCAACTCCCAGAATTCCCTAGCCA